GACTATTGTTAAAGCATTGTTATACTCTCGTCCTACTATTGTTACGTGTAGGTTCATGGGTGCTTGAGTATCGTTGGACGTTGTGACCATAGGAGGATTCAAAGCAAAAAGAGATAGTATCAACTTGTTGCCTAAGTTTTTCAAAGGCTTTCGGAGTTATGGGGGTGTAGGAAGAACCCTGATGTGCTAGTCGACACTTTAGATCCATGGAACGAACATTATAAGGGTCTTCAGGAATCTGTAGGTTGTTCATGGGGATTTGTTGATAAACTTAAAGGTCTTGTTGATTAACACGAGATGCTCTTCTTGACCTTTATAAGTGTCAAGAGCATTGTTGGACATAGTTGTGACTTCGGATTGAGGTCGGGATGTTGATTGATCTTGGAATCGAAATTCAAGATGAGCACAAACAATGCTCCTGAGTACCTTAAATAAAGCTAAAATGCGTGATCTTCTAGCCCTCCGATGTTATAAGTCACCCAAAAAAAAAAAAAGAGAAAAAAAAAGAGAAAAAGTGCATCCAAAAAGCTTTAAGTATACAATGAAGTGGTAATGTGTAAAATGGACTAAAGGTATATGTATATATAACCCATGTTTGGTAGAATTAAAATTCAAATTTTGATCTAAATCAAAATCAACAATTAATTTTAACCACACATTTTATGAGACTCAAAGCTTCTCAACCACACATTTCATCAACTTTTATCAAAAACTACTAAAAATATAATTTTAATCTCCACCGCACAGGGACATAATGTTTTAGATTATAGATGCCTACTAGATTAGAATACTTGGAGGACTACAGGCCTATCCAAAAGTCAAGAAAGTTGCTTCCTTTTAGGACTTTGTCCCTAAACTAATATCCCAATTATAGAATGATTGATCTTCTTTGAATAAGGATAAGACCTAGGAGTGGAAATCTATCTAGGATGGGTGACCACTCATGCCGGTTCATACCTCGGTTGATTAGTGGTTGGATACTTGACTTGGAATAAGTTAACCGAAGAGGCCATCCTCGATCATCCCTTAGGTCGGGATGGACAATAGTAAGGAGAACGAAATCCTAACCTTGGGATAAGAAGGTCATGATGAAAATATCATACTCTTTTCATAAGGTGGGGAAAGTCCTTGAGTAAGAAGGTGAAAGTGATCCTTGGAGTTGACATCCTTTGGTCAGTCTTAGGCAAAATTTATTGCATGATTGGGGACAAATAGATTATAGTGTGGGATTCGGTTCAAGAAAGTGACAAAACTTACACATTGGCTTGATATAAGTAAATAATAATGTGATGTAACTCACACATTGGCTAGACCATGCTCCATACACACATTTTTGTTGGACTAGCATGAAAGTTGGAAAACATGCATAAGCCAATGAAAGTTATGCTCTGTCGATGGCGACCATACCATAAAAAATTTCTCCAAGTTTGTCAAAGGGTTTGACAACCAAAAATAACCATTATTTTATTTTTAAAAAATGACTTACATGGACTACATACAAAATTCGATTATTTGGAAACTCTTTTTTTTTCTTCCTAAAGTTGTTTTCAACAACACATTTTCTGAACTAAAATAATTTTACACGTGAATCTATTTTTTTTTTCATAATTTTTAACTACATATTCTCAAAAAATACTAGAGGATTAGAGTACATGACTACAAACCAAAGTGTCAATGGTTCAAATCCCTCCTGGCACACAATCGACCCAAAAAGGAAGTACATTTCCCTTTATGGGTAGGGAAATTATTATCGGGATAGTGGACCTAAATCTATGGAGCTTGGGTGTGAGACTTTGGATGACTTTTTCTTTTAATTTATTATTTATCGTAAATAATGAAATCATTATAAATAGTAGCTACCAACCTATTCACGTATTTATTTTTTATTATTATTATTTTTTGTTTTAAACCTTTACAAAACCTATTCTCCCCAAAATCAGAGCTTAAAAAACCATTATTTTGTAAAGATTTATGATTTTTTACTAATACTAGTCTATATCTCGTGCGTTACACGAGTGTTGTATTTATTTTGTTGTTACAAATGTAGTGAAATGTTTGCTTGATTGTCATTCTTTTGTTGACTGTGTATATTGTATGTCAACGATAATTTATTTTTATTTTTATAAAAAAATATAATCAATGATGTAATGATTCAGTGAAATTAAGTTGTATATGTTTAGGTGAGCAAGTGAAAACTTAATTATTTATTGATTGGTATATTTCTTTTTAGATTAAAGTAGATGACAATTTTTTTTTTCAATTTGATATTACAAATAAGTTGTAACTTGAATTTAAAAAAAAAAAATGTTTTTCTTTAACAAGTATATTTTCAGCACTACTTCTACCTGAGATGGAGCCTTGATTAGAATATGATATTTGGATGGATTTTCCATTTAGATTAGTGTAGCTTTGCTCTTTCAAAGCTCTCGTAACTATTATGAGTATAAACAAAAGGGATGTTATGCCTAAAGGGACAAAAAAGGGATAACTCAGTTCTAAGTAGATGTAGAAGTTAAAATGGAAATGGACAAGTGCCAAGTGAAAGTATGCTATACATTAAAAAATTCAAATGTTTATTTAGCTTACTACTTAAGTCATTTTTCTCCATTTGGTCAAACTTGTTCCAAATTTACACAAGAAAAATTTGACCACCCCATCACCACAATGACAGCGTTGTTGAAATTTTAATGCAACATGACATTTTAAAAATATATTGTATCATCTATTCAAATCCACTCTATTACAATTTCAAATAATAGAGCAAAAAAAAGGCGAGACGTGACATTTTAGATGAATAAATCTCATAAAATGAAAAATATGCAAGAAAAATTTCTTTTTGGTATGGCTGTCGATTATAGAAAAAGATGAATAAATCTCACAAGATGAAAAAAAACTTACGAAAATTTTTATTTCTGTCAATTATGTGTGGCCACAAAGGGCATAATGCTTTATATAGCGAAAACCCTAGGAAAATTTGGAAAAATAAAAAAATAATAAAAACGATTTTTTTTTTCCAAAAATGAAAATAATAAGATAATGACTAAAATTGAAAATTTCAATCTTAAGGATTATCCTCTAACAAACAGAATTCAAATTTGACTTAAATTCATCGAGATATAATCGAAACAAAACTTACTAAAAAGAGAAACAATGTATAAACGAAGGAATTTGCCCAAAATTGGCCCTACGTCAGTAGCATAGCTCCTGTTTTTTGTTCATTAGCATGTTTCCAATTAAATTTGACTAAAATTTCACCAAAAACTGACAACTCTAAAATTTCTTCAAAAATCAGGAAGTTGAAAAGAAAGGCATGAAGAAGAAGAAATGAGAACTACAAATTTTACGTTAATTTTTAGGTTAAAGAAAAGGGAAAAAAAGGGAGCTACGCGAAGACTCTGTCTCCGCATGCGCGCGAATACTCTGCTTCAAATATGATTTAAGTTTCACCTCAAAGAAATCTGCATCAATATCATTATTAAATCGGACAACTATTTGGGGTTTCTTGATGCCTCCAGCAATAGCAGTTTGAAGCAGAATACTCAATAACCAACTATATCGTAATTTTCACTTTTACCCTCATATGTTTTCCCTTTTGTTTAGAGTAAATTTATTAGAACAGTGATCTAATCAGAAAGGTTCATTCTGTAGGTTGTATTGGGAACTTATCTTTGCCATGATCAAATCCATACAAGATTGCTGGATGGCCTATCAAAATCAAGATCTATTATTGACACGACGCTCTTTTTGCACAAATGAAATTTTGTTTTTGGAAATCAATCAAGTTAGAGAAGCTAACGAAGGGAACTCGTGTGAAAACTGTTTTAGCTAGAACGAAGCTATCTTGTTAAGTAGCTATATTAAGCTAAAATGAGGCTATCTTGTTAAGTAGCTATTTTATTTGCAAATATAAGTTTTTCTTAATGATGATTGATGACCTTTTCCTAGCTCAATAATATGTACCATATTCTGGTAGCATTTTTATGCCTTTTGATGGGTTTGATGTCACCACAAACTTCTTGTAGCATTTTACATGAATATTTTTGTTGTCTCAACACTCAAGCTGGTATACATTATAAAGAATGTATAAATACTCATGTTTGTGGAAACAATAGAAGTTCAATATAAGAAATGAACGAAATTTCATTGAACGGGAAATGTTTTTGTAGGATCTATTTTAGCTAAAATTTCATTAAAAACGAAGAAAGATCAACCTTCCATACTAGGATATATCTGAAAATTTTGTCAAAGCAAGATAGCAAATAAATTTGTGTCTGTTTTTCCCATCCACTAATTCAAAAAATCAGTTCCTATCTTGTAGCACACACAAATTTAAGTTCAATGTCCTCTATCTTAATGACAATACAATAGCCTTTTCCTTTCTCTCTTATTTTCTTTACCCCCTCGAGCGTCTCGTTTCTGCCTATTGACAAAGTGAACAATTTCTTTTATTCCTACATCCACTACCATCTCAGTTTGTTTTAATTTAATTTTATCACCTTCAATCATTATTTGTTTGCCTACAATTGTTTATAATTTTGTTTTAGTCCTACGTAGTCATCACCGCCTAACCCCCTTTAATCATTCTTTTTTGCATGACATTTCTGACCAATTGTTGATAATTTGACCATAAGAAAAAAAAAAGATATTTTATATATATAATACATGTCAATAAAAAGACTAATACATCCATTACTGTAAAAAATATGTTATTGTTTATTTGAGGATAAAATGAGAAAAAAACATGTATCGAATGAATAGTAAATACAGTATTCCCTCCTTCTTTTTTTATTTTTTTATTTTTTATTTTAAGAGAAGAGGGAATTTGGCCAATGGAGACGGTATATTTCAACTCATTTATCAAACAAAAATGAAAAACCAAAAACGAAAAAAAGAAAGACCAAAAAAGAAAAATTGGATTTTATTCATATCCAGTCTAACCCAACCCGGTTCGACGTAACAACCCATCATAGTTTTTCACCTGATGGATCGGCCCATATATAAATTCAGAGCTAGGGTTTGTTTTTCCTTCCCAGCTTACATAGAGATTTACGCACTGTGAGTGAGAGGGAGGGGAGAGAGAGTGAGAGAGAGAGAGAGAGAGAGAGACGCCGCCTGGTAAATTGTTGCCACCACCAGCAAAAATGGTCAGCTATCATTTAACCTACAATTTGATGTATCTTCTTATGACTACTTGCGTTTGACTTCTTATGTATGAATGTTGATATAGATTGGTTATTGTTGGTATAAGAGCTTAAATATAATAAACTGTTAAAAAGAGAACATAATTGATTCGGTTCCAGTTGAGAGATCGATAAGTTTTCGGATTTTTTTTTAATTTTTTTTATTGGGTTTTTCATTCATGGAAAATTTAATTTTTTCAATTTGTATTTCAGTTTTTAGTCGGTATTCGTCGTACTATTATTGTATTTGGATGACAGTTTAGTTGGGTAATATATGAGGGATCGAAATTTTACTGTGCATGAATGCGTCGTAATTGTCATTTCACTTCTTGTTTAAAGTAATGCTTAGGCTGCATTGATTTGTAACTATATCATTGCCTGTTCATAGAAATAGATAATGAGGTTGCCCCAGATTTTACGATCATATAACTAAAGAATATCTTTTTATTTAGTTTCTCAAAGAAATACCTCATGATATAACACAATTTGGTCGCTCTTAAGCGTTTCATGATGAATTATGAAAAGAAGAAAGGACTTGATACCTTTTAATGTTTATTGTGTTACTCTTCTCTTTTTGTTTGCTCACACGTCCTACCAATTTCTGCTTTTATTATCATGACATTGCTTGTGCTTTTGTACTGCTGTGTCCGAATTACAGGCTAGAGGTTTGAAGAAACATTTGAAGAGGCTCAATGCCCCAAAACATTGGATGTTGGACAAACTTGGTGGTGCTTTTGTAAGTAACTGTTCTGTTCTAGTTTTTGGTTTTTTCTGGTTTAATATATATATATTTTTTCTCTCTCTCTATATGATGGTGTTTATGCTGTCTCAAGTCTCTGTTCTTATTTGTGGTTGGTTTCCTTAATCCTTTTGATGTATAGGCACCCAAACCATCTTCTGGACCCCACAAATCCAGGGAGTGCTTGCCGTTGATTCTTATTATGCGCAACAGGCTGAAGTATGCTCTGACATACCGTGAAGTAATTGCCATCTTGATGCAACGCCATGTCCTAGTTGATGGGAAGGTTAGGACGGATAAGACATTTCCTGCTGGTTTTATGGGTAAGCACTCACCATGTTTTTGTTCATTTGAAGCTTTGTTTTTGGTATGCTTATTTTAAGATTCCAACGCATGAATTCAAGATAATTTAGTGTTTAGTACTTCATGTGCCAAAGGGTTCAATTTGGAATCTAGATGCTTTTGTAAAATTTATATGCTGTTCATATTTTCATTGTATAAGATTTTTTGAAATCCGCTGAATGGGACAAATGACTGAATTGGTGCTGCAAAGTCTTTTTGCTTTACTTGGTATATTTGTTCATTATCTTGATATTTTCTCCCTTCCCACCTTGTTACTAGATGTTGTTTCTATTCCGAAGACCAATGAGAATTTCCGTCTACTCTATGATACCAAGGGTCGATTCAGGCTCCACTCCATCAGGGATGAGGAGGCCAAGGTCTGTTCGTGTAACCCTCTTCCATTAGTTTGTGGGTGTGCATAAACTTCTCTTAATTTATGTAGGGGACATGTCTATGTGCATATGCACATATTTGTACATATTCTTTATCATCGGAGAAAAATGGACTAAATTAAATTAACTAATATACTATTTTTATATTGAATTGGTGAATATGGAGAGTATCATTAAGCACCAAATTTGCACGCTACTAAAGAACATGCAAGGCATTTTATGCTTCAGTACTCTTATCATTCTTTCATTGATTTATTGTGATAAAAAAATCTTGCACGTTTTTATGTGTGGTGCTATAGTTTAAACTTTGCAAAGTCCGATCAGTCCAGTTTGGAAAGAAAGGGATTCCCTACCTCAACACCTATGATGGAAGGACAATTCGCTATCCAGACCCGCTCATCAAGGCAAATGACACCATTAAACTTGATCTCGAGACAAACAAAATTGTTGATTTCATCAAGTTTGATGTTGGGAATGTTGTGATGGTGACTGGCGGAAGAAACAGAGGACGAGTTGGAGTCATCAAAAACCGTGAGAAGCACAAGGGAAGTTTCGAAACTATCCACGTCCAGGATGCTACTGGGCATGAGTTTGCTACCCGTCTAGGCAATGTTTTCACTATTGGGAAAGGTACAAAGCCCTGGGTGTCTCTTCCAAAGGGCAAGGGTATCAAGCTGTCCATCATCGAGGAGGCCAGGAAGAGGCTTGCTGCCCAATCAGCAGTCACAGCATAGATTATTTATTTTGTACTTCTCCATTCTGGATATCTATGCTGGTTTTGGTTATCATAGGATCTATGCCAGAAAGTCTATGTTTTGTTTCAAATACAATTTGGACCTCTCACCCTGTTTCAAATTTGGATTAGTTGGGTAACAAATTTTGGAAGCTAAGATTTCTATGTTTTGCTTGGTTTTATTTAGGTCAAATCAAATCTGAAATCTATTCTACAGGTGTAATTTTGCTTCAATTATTCTACATCTATATCATATTTGATATCATTGTGTCACATGACAATACACCATTTGCCAGTTCTTTTTAAGCTCAGTTGCATAGACTGGAGGGTGTTCACCCCCCTCTGATGGTTGTTGTGTTTCTCTATTATTTTGTGCTTGAAGTGAATTTGAATATGTGGAGAGACAAGGTCAGAGACTGAGGTATGCAGATGTGAAGAGGAAAATTTGGCTATGCTCTAAGTTCAAGGGTGCACTTCTAACAAAAGATACATTTGTTATCCTTATTCATATCTCAGCCTCAGGCGCTGAGCCAAAGGTAAGATGAACATCCCAAATTACCAGTGCATTAATGTTAAGAGATAGAAATGCGACTTTAGCCAAATTCGCCCTTTGTTATGTTAATACAGTGTCGTGAGTTCAAATTTCACGTGTCACCGGCCTTGATGTGTGAGGGATTTGTGGAAACCTTTTAATTGTGGTTATTCAATTTCTCGAGTCATCTTTCTGTCCAACCATAAATCAGGAAAGGTAACTTCAGAATGCTTTGAAGAACATCGTCATCTACATAACATTTTATTTTAACAAAGCGAAATTCTGACACTCAAAAGTTGACCATAATTTACTACTTGTGGTTCAAAGCGCACCATCACCTGCATGGAGGAGCATCTGATCGAAGTGCCACACTCCTGCATATGCACAAATAAACACAGTGCTTATAAGAATGAGAATGAGGAGAAACTTAATTATAAGCTATAAACTGAAGAAGTTGAAATCAGTTTTGTAGAAGCAAATCATACCGTGTCCTTTTCCTACCATCCTCAACTGACTGACATACTCTGCAATTTTCTTAATGGCTTCGACCTGGAAAAATTGGGAAAATTTTAAGTATTCATAGTCCCGCAGACCTGTATTTTTTTGTTTAAATTCTACCAACTGATGCACGTCATTCGTATGGTTACACTTGCGTGGGTAGGCATGTCTCTCGTTATAAAAGTGATTTCACTAGAACATGCAAGAAGAGGAAGGATAGATGAAAACTAACTCGTTTCATTGTGGTTGTTAAGGATCTAGCTCATATAAGACTTCCAATCATGTAGCAACGAGTCAAAAGGAGTCACGAAAAAGATTCACATAACAAATCTCAAAATATTTGAGAATAAGATTTCATTTCTGTTATTGTTTACTTCTAATCCAGGTACTTGTTATAAGACCCAAAAAAACTTTTCCTTAGCTTTTTGTTCACTGAACTTCATAGTAGATTGTTAAATTGCACTTTATTATTTACATCTCATTGAATATCACCTTGGTTATATAGCTAGGCATATGCTATCATATGGAACAAATATATAATGTTTCCACAAATTGAAAACAGAATCAAGTTTACCTGCTGCCTCCTTTTAGGGGGAGAAAAAAATGGAGAATTACAAAAGACAAAGTTTTCCGTTTATTGTCAGCCTGCCGCGACCTTCCTTTATTTGAGCTTCGTACAAAATTTAAAATAGATTGAGAATCGGAAAATATCAGCACAAAGATGCAAGAGAAGCCTTACACTGTGAAGTTTCAGAAGTTTCTCATTTGTTAACTTCTCCAAGGACAACGCTAGTTCCATGGCTGAATCAAGAGTCAAAAACAGGGATAATCAAAACTACTTATTAGGACAATTCGCAAAATTTTAATCGAACTTTATTTAAAATCACAGTCTTTTAACACTTGTGCTGAGCATAAGAGACTTACCATACAGTGCATCACCCTTCTCCACATGTTCAAACTCCGCAGTGGGCATTAGTATAGAGTACAACTTCACTCTCCCTCCTCGGATGTTCTATTATTGTCAATATCGAAAGAAAAGCATATTATACTTGCGTCCAAAACAAAATAAACCCAGAACCTAAATGTGAGGAATCTTATATTTATTTACTGTGGATGCTAGACTTTTTAGTCGATTCTAAATTTATTGTGATTGAAGGCTTAGTTTGATGACTTCGTTGCCGGTGCTGATCAAATACCTGATATTCCATTAGTTTGTGAGCATGATCTCTTTCTTCTTCACTTGAATCCTTAAAAAATCTGACCACAATATATTTAATAAAATCTGAAAAAGAAAGGAAAAAAAGGAAAAAGAAAAAGGATAAACAAGACACTAAGAATTGTTTTAGTTACTTGGCAAGGCCTTTCAAAGCAACATTGTCCCTGTCAAAGTATGCATAAATGGAGTGGTACACATACGAGACGTTGTACTCCACACTAGGAAAAACCACAAGTAATCGTTAGCAGCAATCGCTAAAAAACTTGGATAAAAAGGATATTGTATATTTGCTTTTATCAATACACTAAACCAATTTGTCGACTCAATTTATGTATAATTATCGATGTATTGTAACAACAAAGATTGGTTGAAGTGTGATAATGTTCATAATGGAATAACAATGGATACAAAATTTTTCATCAGACCATATATGAAAGTATTCTTACTAATCCTTTAGTACAACAACAAACTCAAGTCTTGTTTAGAGTTCATTATGCAAATTCTATTTGTCACTTTGATATTTTTTTATTTCAATATTCACTGAAAGATCCAAAACAAGTGGATCCTTAACATCACAACAGGAAATATAGGTGACTTCGACACTTCCAACAAGACCTTTGTCTCGATACCATACTAACCCTGTCATTTAAAGATTGAAACTTACTTATGAATTATATACCTTCAACAAACAAGACTTCCTATTTAACATTTTGAATCATATTCTGAAAAATAATTGGTCAAGAACTCACTTGATCTGCTCATTAATTGCGGCCTCACACTCTTCTGAGAACCTCTGGCGAGTAAGTGATACGTTGGGAACTATTGGGACCATAAAATCATCCCTCTGGACCTCTTCAAATGGCTGAAACACCACACCGGTAAGTGGCATACTAGCAGTTTCAGACAAGGCATAACCAGCGAAACCATTATCGCGCTTTCTTGACAAAGCAAGGCCGGAGGAAGAATAGTTACAAGATGCTGGAGTTAAAATGGCATTGGCATTAGCTGATTTTAGAAGGGGTCCAAGATTAGAACCCTGCAGAGAGAGAGCTGAAATTGCTTCAAGAAACATTTTTCCCAGAGATGGATCAGAACCCACAATTTAGATTGGATTAACAAAAATTGTTTCAGTAATTTGGGGTGAAAATTTTGAGTGCAAATGGTTGAATGATATAATGGAGGTAAAGAACATGGAGGTGATTTTGAGCCGATGAACTTGTGACACGTAGAGGACGAAAACGGGTCCATGTGGACAGGGCGTGTGTCGAACTCGTTGCCTTATCCAGAGTCTTGTGGAATCCAAGGTAATGGATGCCAAATGCACCTGTCGGAATTCAGAAAAGTGTCCTTGGATCTTTTCATAGTGGTGGAGGATTTGTCTTTTTTTGTTTATGGGCCATTGTTTTTACTAGAAAATTGAGTACTTGTAAGAATGTAACTGTGAGCACGTGAACGTCAAAATGTGTATCAATCATACAATGACTGGTTCTGTTGATTAGTGCTAGTTCATGAACCCTTTTATCTTTTCTGGAGATTTGGCCTTGATAATGGGATGGTTTACCTTTTTACGAAGATTAATTTTAACCAATTTTTTAATTGTACGTTTCAGTCAAAATTTACTAAAAATCGAATTTATATATATAGAAATCTCTAAACCCCAATGGCAGAAGCACCAGTGGTCTAGTGGTAGAATAGTACCCTGCCACGGTACAGACCCGGGTTCGATTCCCGGCTGGTGCATCCTCTTTCTTACAGATTTCACACCTTTTTCTCTAGTTGTACAAATGGACTGTCAATTCAAAAACATGTAGAAAGCAAATTCATAAATTACAACTTTTGGAACAGCAAAGGTGTAGGAGGATCTATTCACTTTTAATATTAAACTATTCACAATTCAAGTATCATTTTCCAAATTCGATTTCTGATCTGAGCATTGAGTTACTTGCACTATGTTGATCGAACTATGGTTCTAATTCAAGGAGAGGGCAATGGGGAATCAAAACTTTTGCACGTGCATCCACTTCCCATATTTGAAATCATTTCTTTGGGAAAGACCCTTTTTTATATTGGTTTCTTTTGGGTTCCTATCTCCAGAGAATCTGAGGGAGAGAGCCGTTAGAAGATTACATGAATAGAATAAGAATAGATGCCATTCGTTTTATATTCTTTTTACTATCCCCAAGTTTAGAGATTAATTTGAAATTACTAAAGTTACATGTGTGATGTCTTCTTCCTTTTGTCTATGCTACTTGTATTTAGCAATGCTTTACAGATCTTGACTTGCATGAACAATCGGAATCAAAAGGTCACGCAAATCGTGGCAACCTACTCAAGCGAGAAATCTGGAACTTACAAAATTTGATAAAAGTTGATGAAATATAAAATTGAAAAGTTAATAAAAACTGTGCGTCTTATTTGGTGAGTGAATTACCCAAATGGTCACTAAACTTTGCAAAAAGTTTCGACAGGATCATTAAATTTTAAAAATCACTCAATTTATCATTGAACTTTACAAAAGGTTTCCACGAAATCACTGAATTTTAAAAATCACCCCATTTATTACTAAACTTTGCAAAATGTTTCCATGAAATCACTAAACTTTGCAAAAGATTTTTTAGATGTCACTAAATTTAGTGACCTCTGAGAAATCTTTTGTAAAGTTCAGTAATGAATTGAATGATTTTTAAAGTTCATAGGCCTCGTAGAAACCTTTTACAAAGTTCAGTGACCATTTAGGTAATTCACTCCCCATTTAGTAGTTAAAATTAAAGTTTGACCAATTGATTGATAAAGTTTTATCGAACAAGCTCCTATATTTACTTGTAGCCAAAAGAAAATCGTGGGAGGAAACGCTAATGAATTTATTGCCCTTAGTTCATGCCATGTGATATTTAAGTTTTTCTAACAAACAACAAGTTGTTGTTTGACTTTTTTGAGAAATGATTCTTACTAAATAATTCAAAATCACGTAAGTTTAACAGCTAAGTGCCAGGTTTAAGCACCCTTAATAAGAAACTAGAATAATCATGTGTTCAAATTCTTTATTTCTTATTTATTTAGCTTTCTGGACGATTCATCAAGATAGTTGAATGAGGTTCGAGCAAATGACAAGCACACACAAATTAGTTCTTGGATCATGGAAAATTAGACACAACTTTCATTTCATTGCATTTGTCCTCCTCATAGCGTTTGTGATTGCTGCTATTTATCTAACTCGGGATAGTCGACGCTTCCTGGTACAGCAGACGACGCCTAATGATTCTACTCCGAGCTGCGATTTGTTCTCAGGCAAATGGGTTTATGATAACGTATCTTACCCTCTGTACGAGGAGAAACAATGTTCTTTCATGGAGGACGCCTTCACGTGCGAGAAGTGTGGTAGGAAGGACTTGAAATATCAGAAATGGCGATGGCAGCCTCATGATTGTGACCTTCCAAGGTTCTCCCTTACCTCTCATTTACACACACACACACACAGTGTTAAGAATTAATCGAACAAGAAGTTTGCAGTTGGCAGTTGATGGTTTTTCTGTTATATCAAGGTTAAATGCCACTGCATTGTTGGAGAAGTTAAGAGGGAAGAAGCTTGTGTTTGTAGGGGATTCCCTGAATCGAAACCAATTCAATTCGATGCTTTGCCTAATTGAGCCGTCGATCCCTCCATCAACATCTAAATCCCTGATCTGGAAAGGCAACTCCATCATCTTTGAGGCCACCGTAAGACAATTTTATCTTTTTCTTGAAATTCAGAACCAAGCTATTAATAATATCTACCATGTGTTCAAATTCTACCAAGCTATTAATAATATCTACCATGTGTTCAAATTCTACCAAGCTATTAATAATATCTACCATGTGTTCAAATTCTACCAAGCTATTAATAATATCTACCATGTGTTCAAATTCTACCAAGCTATTAATAATATCTACCATTTTTCACAGTCGACTTTCTGATAGTTATGTCATTTACAATGATCTTGATTTCTTGTTAAATCCACGAAGGACTACAATGCGACGATCGAATTCCATTGGTCTCCTTTGTTGGTTGAATCTAATTGCGATGACTTAGTGAACCATCGGGTACAAACTCGTATAATTAGAGTTAAGGCAATTGAAAAGCATGCTAGGCAATGGACAGATGCAGATATACTCATATTTGATTCCTTTATGTGGTGGTTGAAGCCAAAAATGACACTTCTGTGAGTACATTCTATGAAACTATGGATGTGATGCAATTCTTGTTTCTTTTTTCGTTATCTTTGCCATAAATTGTAACTCCGATGTGTTATCCTTGATTAGATGGGGATCATTTGGAAGCCCTGATGCAATCTACAAAGAAGTTGGGATGAGGCATCGTCGCTTTGAAATGGCTTTGAACACATGGGCAGATTGGATGGAATTCCACATTAACAGAAACAGAACGAAGTTGTTCTTCATGAGCTCCTCACCTTTTCACTTTGTGTAAGTCAATCACTCCTATTTTGGTTGCATTGAAAATTTGCGCAGAAAAATGGCAAAAACTCTAGTCAAATAACATGATTATATGATTCATTATCACTGCAGAGGTGAAGATTGGGGCATGGATACAAGTCGAAATTGCTATAATGAAACCGAGCCAATTTTTGATGAGGGATATTGGGGAAGTACAACGGATCGTGGAATGATGCAGATAGTGGAATCAGCAATATATGAGCTCGAAACAAGGGGATTAAAGGTAGATTACTTGAATATAACACAGTTGTCAGATTACAGAAAAGATGCGCATCCATCTATCCATAGGAGGTATTATGTCCCTTTAACTGAAGAACAATTAGCAAAGCCTGAGAGCCGTTCAGATTGTGTGCACTGGTGCCTTCCAGGAGTGCCTGATATTTGGAATGTGATCCTCTATTCCTACATTATGCGTTCATGATTGTTCTTATATTAAAGAGACATAAAATTTTGATAATTTGTTGTATACGCCTTACAGCACAGATTTGATTCCTGAAAATCATATATTTTTAGCAGACCCTTTTGCAGTCTGTTGTTTGATTCTTCCAATTTTAATGTACATGAACCGAAATCAAAGATTTACTGAACCTCACTCTATGCTTTGACATCTTTGAACTTCAATCTTCATTCTTCTTGTCACAAGCCACAGTTTCTGTCTTGGCCACTTCACAATGAGGCGGGTTATTCGACTGCTTTGCATGATGACGGCGCGGATGGCATCTGCTGGGATAAGACGAAGCATCTTTAGATACATGGCTGTTTTGCGACTGGACCTCCAAGGACTTCGCTGGCTGCAACTCCTCTTGCTCCCAGACATGGCCCGTTGGAGAGCAATTTCTCCAGCATGGCTTTCATCTGTGCATTCTCCTCCTTCAACTGCTGGATGTCCCTGTCGGAATTATTTTTCCAGTAATTCTTTCTCCTCTGGCGATGAGTAACCCGATGAAGGCCTAGGCTGTCTACCGAAACTTCTGCGTGGTGGGAGGATTCTTCCATCCGTTCACGCTAGTTTCTACTATTATTGAAAGTAATCCGATTGCTGAAAAGGATTTTGTAGTTGGCTTTTTCTATGTTTTTTCAACCGTGATTTTAGTATTAGTTTACAACAGTTGACTTAAAGATCTATAGATGTGAGAATATGGATCTTTTAACTCCATTATATTTAAGTGCTATTTGTATCATTCATATGGATTGTGCTTGTTTAGTTTTAGTATGAACAATTGGATGAAATCGACGGTTGGGATTTATTCTATGTGAGATATTTTTTGTTGCTTTAGCTTGTGTGAGAAGTTTTGACTATTTTTCACCAAATAGGGCTTTCTCACGTTTTTGGCAAAAACAAGTCTTTTTCTCTTAAAATTGGGTCCTCTCTCTTCTCCTCAAGACTTCTCTCTCCATTTGCACCTTACTGTGAGTGTTCTTGAGAGTGCCTTCTTGTGAGCTTCTTCTTGAGTGTCCCTTGTGAAAACTTAGGTCTGAAATAGAGGTTAAGTATAGGTTATGTTTCTCAAAGCTTGGTAGAAGAGAGGGGTGCGGTGATGGCAGTTTCAAATAAGGTTCTTTGCCGATTTTCTAGTTCTCTCTTTGGAAGGTGATTTGCATGACATGGGAGCTGTTCCTGAGCCTGAAAATCAGCCATAAACAAGAGAAGTTGCTTTCCAGATTTTCGGCCATTAATAGAGATCCCAACAATAGACATACCAAATGCCTACACGTATGTTAAATGTACACTTGGACATACAGTTAAACACCAAGATGACCATTCCAGTAAAAAGAGTCGGTGACTTTTGGTACTTTGATGATCGAGTCAAATGTTGAAATCGGAGAATATAATGGGGAATTGGGTGTGGAAGAGACAAACAAGTAGAATTTATCTTGAAACTCTAGATGAACATGTGTTTGTTTATTTATAAGAGAGGAGTCAATGTGGAATTAGATTAGTACCTTACTGCCCGAATTCCACGTGTTATTACCTTGTTAGTCAGTGGAAATTTGATTTAATATGGTTAAATACCTTATGCCATATTTTTCCTTCTAGGAATGTGTTACCTTACGACGTTTGATCCTTTTGGATCTTCCCTAAGCATCACCAACTGACATGCCCCGTCCGAATCACCATAGAGGATCCAAAACGTGGCATGCATCGATGGTGGATGCCAGCTGGGCACTTGACTCATCACCAATGCTAACTTTGACATGAAGGTAATACAAATTTGATAAAGTTTCCCCTATAAATTGAACAAAACCAACTGAAAAGTGACAAAACTTTCCAAGAAATATTTTGTCTGAAAGATACTGGGAACCACTTGTCCCTCTAACACATACTAACCAAAACTACGAGTAACTAGCTCAATCATTTTAATATAACTTACAATACAACCAAATGGTTATAAAACTACAAAGAATGCAGTGAGCTCATATGCTTAATCCCCTGTTTGACTGGGAGAATGTGTGATTAAAAAGTTGAAATTTTTTTTGGATTTACGTGCAAAATATTTTATTGTCCGAATGTGTAGTTAAAAATAAGTTCGAGAAAGAAAGAGTTTTGCAGTAATGATAGACAAACATGGGCTAAATGTTCGAGCCACTTGACTGATTCTTCCAATACGATCGTTATTCTCATGATCTATGAAGACTTTGGGCCTCATCATAGGAATTTGTCCATCGATTCAACACTATGCCTTTCATCCTGTCAAGGATGGTTTGGTCGAGAGGCGAGGCTTGAACTTGCCGCCCATTGCTCGAAGACCATAAGGAATGACATTGTACCATCTAGAGCGAAGATCGTGGTCAGGTGGGTGAAGGGCATAGGGAGACGTGTGCCATGACGATCCTTGCCTAAATGGCTTCCACGTGGATCCAGGGTGTAACAAAGTTAGAATTTTTTGGTAAAATTGGTGGCAATTGAATTTAAACAATCAAATTTGGCTTAAAACTTTAACTACATTGAAATAATGCAACCTTAAATACAAACACCATTTTTCCTCATAATCCTACACTGTAATAGTTGTAACCCTGTGCAAGGCCATGGCTTATGGACAAATAGCCACGTCCAAGGCTATATATGTTGTATCCAAGTAAGTATTTTATTAATCTATTTCAATATGCTTCTCCAGTTCTTCTTCCTAAAACTTTATCAATCATTTTCATTTTCTAATAGAGTTTGTTTCCCAATCAGAAGTTCAATATCCAATTCCTTTTTGACTGAGTGTTGCCTCTTTTGGAACAAAAAGTCATTTCTAACCTGGTAGATAGTTGCTCAAAACGTTTCAACACTAGAGGGAGCAATATTCTCTTAACGGAACTGTATTCAATTGGAATTTTTAAAATAATTTTTTTAAGTGATGACTTTTGTAAATTTCATGGACTTTATAAATTTATATGGAATTAATAGAAGTCGTAGACATCTATACACTTTCATTTTAATTTTTCTTGAAACTTTTATAGATTTTTGTAGAATTCAAAAGATTTTTGAAGACTTTCATTTAATGTAAAATTCACGTGGGTCTATTGCAATATCGTGAAGTTCTCACACACAAGGTGCTGGTCACACAATTCCATTTTCCCTACCCATGTAATAAAAATATTTTAAAAGAATAAAAATTTAAGTCATCTTAAATAAATAAATAATAATAATAAATGTATATATAAATTCTATCATCCTTTGATAAGAAATGAATATAAAAATCTAATATTCATTATTATCAATATGACATATCTATAAAGAGTAAACAAGAAATTAATATATTTAAATTTAATTATAAATTAGTCTTTTTTATATAAAATCTTATAATTTAATTACAAATCGATCTTTTCATAAAAAAAAATGTTGAAAAAAGAAAAAAAATGATAAGAATCTTTAGTTACAATTAATTTTTTTCATAGAAAATAGAGATCAACAATAAAAGAGAGAGCAAAAGGAAAAAAAAAAATAGAAAAATAGAAACAATTATAATTGATGGAAAAATAAATTTTTTAATCATGACTCCATGTCCGTGGAAGAGAAATATTAAAAAGAGTAATGCTATTTGTAACCACTCACTACGACCACGTATGGTGACTGTCGTAGTGAGTGACTACAAATAATATTATTCATATTAAAAGGATCAAAAAATACATATTATTTTACTCTTTTTTTTTTTTGTTGTGAAAGACTCCTAAAATCTTCGGATAAATGAGAGAGAGAGTTTGAAATTTTATTTTTGTACTTTTTGCTTTCTAAAGCATTGACGATTTGAATACTCCAAAATTTATAGAGACTTCTAAATCTTAATTGAATACATAGACTTTTTTAAAGTCTATATACATCAATACTTTGGAGATTTTCAAAAATTCTACATTGAATACTCCGAAACATTTGAAATCTCGAAGTATATAAAAGTCCCAACTGAATACAACCATAAAAACTGAAGTAGTTGGGTTCGGATTCTAGAATTTGTATAGAATTCTGGAAGTTGCATTTCAGGTTCATGATTCTTTTAATTTAACTGCATATTCCGATATGTGGTAACAACAGTTTTCTTATTTGTGTTCGTAGCTTCTGAAAATCTAGGAGAGAAATGAGTTCGAAGATCGATGATAAGATGAGTAGGTGCCGTTGAACTTTTATTCATTTTAGTATCCCTATGCTCAGATATTAATTATAAAGTACTCAACTGTCATATTCATGTGTGATTTCTTCTCCCTATAGTAATTCTACTTTCAGATTTAAAATGCTACACAGATGTTGACTTGCATAAATTATTTGAAACTGCTGATCACCTTGCTACCAGATGAAAAGGTCAAGCCTATTAAGGCAAACTACTAGTTGGCAAGGGATTTGGTTTGATTCCCTAACGGTGTATACACCCTCTCATGCCTTCAAATTCTTTGCTCCGTGTCAATTGAGATTTTTGGATATGCAGCGCAAGGTAGTTGAATGAAGTTGAGCAAATGGCAAGCACACAAAAATCAGTTCTTGGAACATGGAAAATTAGATGTATCTTTCATTTCATTGTGGCCTTCCTCCTCATAGCATTGGTAGTTGCTTCTCTTTATTCAATGGGGGGAAATAAACTCTTCCTGGAACAGCAGATGACACCTACTGATTCTACTCAGTTCTGTGATTTTTTTTCGGGCAAATGGATTTATGATAACATATCTTATCCTCTGTACAAGGAGAAACAATGTTCTTTCGTGGAGGATGCCTTTGCATGTGAGAAGTATGGTAGGAAGGACTTGGAATATCAGAAATGGCGATGGCAACCACATGATTGTGACCTTCCAAGGTTAAATTCTTAACTCTTATTTACACAAATACACACAGCATTAAGAATTAATTAACCTAGTAGTTTCCGGAAATTGTATTGATGGTTTTCTGTTATGGCAAGGTTCAATGCTACTGCATTGATGGAGAAGTTAAGGGGGAAAAAGCTTGTGTTTGTAGGTGATTCCTTGAGTCGAAACCAATTTGGGTCGATGCTGTGCCTAATTGAGCCATCGATCCCTCCATCATCATCTAAATCATTGATCCTGAAAGGCAACTCCTTCATCTTTAATTTCACTGTACGTAAGAAAACTTCTACTGTTACTAGAAATTCAGAATCAGGCTGTAGTTATATATTCAATTTTTCATAATTTGCTTTGCAATGGTTATCTGCAATGATCTTGATTTTCTTGTTAAATCCATGAAGGACTATAATGCGACGATCGAATTCTATTGGTCTCCTTATCTGGTTGAATCTAACTGCGATGAAATACTAAACCATCGGATACGGGATCGTATAATTAATATTAAAGCAATTGAAAAGCATTCTAGGCTTTGGACAGATGCAGACATACTCATATTTGATTCCTTTGCATGGTGGCTGCAGCCAAAAGCAACACTTCTGTGAGTACAAACTATTAAACCAAGAATATGCTGCAAATTTTCTGTTTCCTTTCCTTTTTTCTTCCCGACACAATTTGATACTGATGATTTACTGGTGATAAGATGGGGATCATTTGGAAGTTCTGATGCAATCTATAAAGAAGTCAGGATGAGGCCGCGTTTCTTTGAAATGGCTTTGAACACATGGTCAGACTGGTTAGAAATCCACATTAACAGAACTAGAACGAAGTTGTTCTTCATGAGCCTCTCACCTTATCACCCTTTGTATGTTAATTAGTTCTCTTCAATTGCAAAGAAAACTGGGTTTGCTCTATAGAAAAATCACGAAAAAAGTGCTCATTTATTGACATAATTCATTATCACTGCAGAGGTGAAGATTGGGGCAAGGATAGAGGTCAAAATTGCTACAATGAAACTGAGCCAATTTTGAAAAAGAGTCACTGGGGAAGTTCAACAGATCGTGGAATGATGCAGATAGTAGAATCAGTAATCAACGAGCTCGAAATGAGAGGTTTGAAGGTACAATACCTCAATATTACTCAGATGTCTGATTACAGGAAAGATGCTCACCCTTCTATCTATAGGGAGTTTTGGATGAATATAACTGAAGCACAATTAGCAAACCCCGCAAGCTATTCAGATTGTGGTCATTGGTGCCTTCCAGGTGTTCCTGATGTTTGGAATGTGATTCTTTACTCCTACATTATGCATTCATAACAGTTCATTTATTACAAGAGCCACAAAAATTTATAATGTGTTGTATAAGCCTTTTACTGATTTGATTCTTGAAAACTATATGTCTCCAGCATATTCATCAAATTCCTTTGCAGTGTTTGTGTTTGGTTGTTTTATAGATTTATAGCTCCTAGATACTTTTATCTCTGTTGAGCGACCCTTCTCCTCTCTGAATTAGTCTAAACTCCCAATGTATTTTGATTATCTCGCTATCCTTGGAAAGTTCAGTTGCAACTCAGAGAACTTTTAAAGTTCAACAGAAATTGAGAAAACATTTAGGAAATTTCAGTTGCAATTGGGATATTTAACCCGTTGCATTCCTGATGCAACAAAATATTTATATGGTATGGTTCAAAAAACCGATCTCAAGTCATTCCCGCAGCATTACAATGTATTTCACCAACACCCCATGCCCCATGCTGCCTCTAAGCATAAAAGAAACACAATTCCATTACAACGAGCTCAATTCCACTTCATTATTGCTTATGGAAGGCGAAGATGACTTTTCCTTCATAATCCCAGGCGAGGCTACATAGGGTGGATGCCATTCATTTTATACTCATGCCTGTGCTTAGATATTAATTTGAAATTACTCCATTTACACTTGAAATGTGTTCGTCCTTTTGTTAATGGTACAGTGCTTTTGACTTGCACAAGTTATTTGACACTACTGTCTACTGCCTTTTCAATTGCAATCAGAAACACAAGGTCAAGCAAATGACAAACTACTCGTTGATGATGTATTTGGTATTGGCATGTAGCCTGTTAAGAAAATAAGAAAAGGGTGATGAGGGGGCATGGAAAAATTTCTGTAGGCTTAAGAGGGATACGTAATCTCAACTTCCAATACTAGACGAAAAAAAATTTAAACAAATTCTGTTATGTACTATCCTCTTTGAGAAAGTCTAAACGCATCTTATCCCTCACGAATTTCTATCGCTTTCCCTAATATTCGAAAACAAGACCTCTACCTTATAAGATGGGCTTAGGTTCTCCCAAAATGGATAGTACGTAAGATAATGGTCGGGCACAGGCTCAGGTCGTTATAAAAAAATAAAAATTGGATCATTTCTCGATTTGTGCACGTCATCCTTGCCCAGGGCTATGCTAATCTTCTTTGTGTCGTTCTAACTTTATTGGATGTCCCTAGAATGTGAAAATTGGGGTGTCAACTTGTATTTTACACATTACCATACTTGATTCTATTTTAACAACTCGGATCAAGTTTACATTAATAAGATATTGACATGAAGAAGACGCGAATCAAATTGAGGAAAATTAATATGATTGGTTGAACATTATTCTCTAAGTATTAAAATTTTGATTCGATTGTTTTATATTGTTTTATTATATTTAGATAATGCAAAATTGATATGTTGAATATTGAGAATATATTGTAGATATGAAATGTATTTTTTATATAATATGCTTCTCCGTGTATTCATGTGTCATTCTGTCTGATTGATAAACTATATTGCACTTAGCTTGCACTTCCTATTTTTAAAATAGTTTCTGGAGAGAAAATCATTACAAAATTGCATTACTAGAACAATTAGAGATGCCAATACTTTTATTTTCATGTTATTATCCCTTTGCTTAGAGATTACTCTTAAATTACGCCAGTTCCATGTGTTGTATCGTCTTCTTTTTTGTTAATGCTGCATTCATTTATTAAGCAAAACACACAAGAGACAATAACCCTCAGCCAATGTCGGCGAGAAAAAATAAAAAGAACTTTCACTAGAAAAGAATTTAGAATACAAAAGAATATAACCACATATACATACTGGGGGCAATACAAAAGAGTACAAAGTACTCAAAGTTAAATCCTCCTCCAAAAGTATGTATAATAGGTGAAACTATTAAGGGACTCCCAAGTCACCATCTTTCGAATTAGGATGGACTAATAACATAGGACTAGTAACGTAGGCGGCTACTATATATATGGAAACAAAAGGGTTGGCTAAATATCCCTCTTATGCGCCACCCATTTCTATCTTTCTGTAAATTAAACCATTTATAAATTCTTCCCAAACGGAGGCTAAAATCTCCACATTGGCTTTAATTGTCCACAACCTTAAAATATGAATTCTTTAAGCATCTTCTCCATGACTCTTCCAAAGTCTTCTCCATCACTTCGTATCCAATTTCTCATCTTCGAATTTGCTTCCATAACTCTATCTTGGCTCTGTTACCCTTTGTTTTGCAGAAGTCCTAAGATTGGATTTAACTTATATTATTCGGCTATATTGTTTCTCCCATGCTACCGGAAACACAAGGTCAATCAAATGAAGGCAAAATTTGAAAAAATAGAAAAGGAAAAGTAAGTTGGCTGCAACTAAATTTAAAACTGGATTTTGGTTTGGACTCCGACCCATTTATTTAAATTAGAAAAAGGCACACACAAGTTAGGAGCGACATAGACTCGACCTCTATAGGATAAAGGTTGCAGTCAGGTTAGGAGGGATCTGTGAATTCAACCTCCAATGCTAAACAAAAGATGGATAAAATACAATGCATATGTGATCGACATTTACTTGTAGCTAAAAGAAAATTTCCAAACAAACTGGTCAATAATTGATTTGCCTCTTGTTCATACTAGTTGACTTCAAGGTTATAACAAGCGATGAGTTGTTATTCTTTCTTTAAGAAATGATTGATCAGCTTACTTAATAATTAAACCAAGAATGATTAACAACAAAGCACCATGATATGCATGTGTTCAATTTCATTGCTCCTTGTTGATTAAGCTTAGGGATGCAGAACAAAGGAATTGAGTGAAGTTTTGAAAATGGTGAACACAAAAAATTTAGTTCTTGGAACATGGAAGATTAGATACAATTTTCATTCCATTTCTGGCCTCCTCCTCTTAACCTTTGTGATTGCTATTGTCAATCTAAAAGGGGATATTCGACGCATCCTTAAAATGCAGACGATTCCTAATGATTCTATTCCACACTGTGATTTGTTTTTTTGGGAATTGGGTTGATGATAACATATCTTACCCTCTGTACAATGACAAACAGTGTTCTTTCATGGAGGGTGCCTTTGCCTGTGAGAAGTATGGTAGGAAGGACTTGAATTATCAGAAATGGAGATGGCGGCCGCATGATTGTGACCTTCCAAGGTTCTCTTTCACCTCTCATTTACACACAACAAGAATTTATGTTTGATTATAAAATTTGTACTCGACAGTTTTTGGCAAATAAATCGATGGTTTTTCTGTGATCTAAAGGTTCAATGCTACAGCACCGTTGGAGAAGTTAAGGGGCTAGAAGCTTATATTTGTAGGGGATTCATTGAATAGAAACCAATGGATATCGATGCTGTGCCTAATCGAGTCACCAATCCCTCCATCATCATCTAAATCAGTCATTTGGGAAGACAACTCCTTCATCTTTAAGATTGCTGCAATACAAGTGTTCCATTTCTTGAAATTAAATTTTTACTATATCTTTCATAGTTCGCTTTCTGGTAGTTAAACTTCTACAATGATGATGATTGTCTTATTGTATCCATGAAGGACTACAACTCCACGATCAACTTCTATTGGGCTCCCCTTCTGGTTGAATCTAATTGCGATGAAATAATAAACCATCGGATTGGAAGTCGTATCGTTAGAGTTAAGGCAATTGAAAAGCACGCTAGGCACTGGACAGATGCAGATATACTCGTATTTGATTCCTTTGCTTGGTGGTTGGAGCCAAAAATGACTATTCTGTGAGTACATTCTAAGTAACCAAGAATATGATGCAAACTCTTGTTTTGTTTTACTTTTCTTTCCCATACACAGTGATTCTGATACTGTACTGCTGATCATTTGGAAGTCCCGATGGAATCTACAAACAAGCCGAGATGAAACTGCGTGGCTATGAAATGGCTTTGAACACATGGTCAGACTGGTTGGATATCCACATTAACAGAACTAGGACAAAAATGTTCTTCATGGGCCTCTCACCTCATCACAGCTCGTATGTTAATTACTTCTCTTAGTTACACTAAAAATTCGGTTAGCGCTGTAGAAATATGGCCAAAATGCTAGTTAATAACATGATATAGTAAAACTGTAGGGGTGGGGAAAAATTTCTGTAGGCTTAAGAGGGATACGTAATCTCAACTTCCAATACTAGACGAAAAAAAATTTAAACAAATTCTGTTATATACTATCCTCTTTGAGAAAGTCTAAACGCATCTTATCCCTCACGAATTTCTATCGCGTTCCCTAATATTCGAAAACAAGACCTCTACCTTATAAGATGGGCTTAGGTTCTCCCAAAATGGATAGTATGTAAGAAAATGGTCGGGCACAGGCTCAGGTCGTTATAAAAAAATAAAAATTGGATCATTTCTCGATTTGTGCACGCCATCCTTGCCCAGGGCTATGCTAATCTTCTCTGTGTCGTTCTAACTTTATTGGATGTCCCTAGAATGTGAAACTTGGGGTGTCAACTTGTATTTTACACATTACCATACTTGATTCTATGTAACAACTCGGATCAAGTTTACATTAATAAGATACTGACATGAAGATGACGTGAATCAATTTGAGGAAAATTAATATGATTGGTTGAACATTATTCTCTAAGTATTAAAAGTTTGATTCGATTGTTTTATTTATATTTAGATAATGCTAAATTGATATTTTGAATATTGAGAATATATTGTAGATGTGAAATGTATTTTATATATAATGCTTCTCCATGTATTCATGTGTCCTTCTGTCTGATTGATAAACTATATTGCACTTAGCTTGCACTTCCTATTTTTTAAATAGTTTCTAGAGAGAAAATCATTACAAGATTGCATTACAAGAACAATTAGAGATGCCAATAGTTTTATTTTCATTTTATTACCCCTCTGCTTAGAGATTACTCATAAATTACACCTGTTCCATGTGTTTTGTCTTCTTCTTTTTTGTTAATGCTGCATTACATATAAGAGAATAATCCTCAGCCAACGTCCGTGCGAAAAAATAAAAAGAACTTAGAATACAAAAGAAGGGTAAATAGCAGAAAATATCCCTATCTTTCAATATCATTGTGGAAAACGGCTATGCCTTTCAATTTTTGGCATT